TGTAATAGTTTTCTGTTGTGTGACATTGAAAGGAGTAGTAGTAATAAATATTTAAAAAAATGATATATCTAAGTATTTCATTTTAAGTATTATATACCTTTTAGATAGCCTGAATTATTGGTAATTTTTGCATTTACATTCACATTCAACCTAAACAAAATGAAAAAGTGCTGAACTAACATCTCTTAACAAGTAATCAATATCCTTCATAGTACACTTGGTCATTTTTTATGCTAGAAGCATTTGTAGTCTTATCTTTACAAACTTTGTTGTGTCGAATGTAAAGAGAGTGACAGCGCGCTTTTACTCTGTATCAGGTAAAAGAATGTCTGGAACAACAAAAGGAAAACATGAAGAATCAAGATGGGAGAATGAGATATTTCACTTAGCCGCCATCAGTCCGAAGAAAGATGAAATGAATGAAAAAAGACCAGCAATGTTAAAAAAAAGTTGGATCAGTAAGGTAGTAGGTGCTTCAAATAATTAACAAAATGTTAGGTTAGAATATCCGAAGGATATTTGTGTTTTGCTGTAGGAAAAGGTGAGCATCGCAAAGAGCTGATACAGCTGTTTGGATGTAATAGCACAGAAAGGAAAAAATTTGTTGCAAGTTTTTTGATATAATTTTGTATAGTATCAATATAAAATTATATAAGAAACTTACAACAGATCTCTATGAATATATGAATTTGGGATGAACCAGGGTGCATTAATAATTTCACGAAGGGTTTTATTTTGAATAACTTGGATCTTTTTTATGTGGGTTTTAGTGCCGTGTCCCCATACCAGACTGGCGTAAAATAAAGTAGGTCTAAGGATGGACTTGTATAAAATAAGCTTATATTGCTATGTCTGCCGAGGAGAGTAGCTATTGAGATATTGAATTTCCTGACAGTTTCGTGTAAATGTTGCCAAAAAGTGAGTTTTTTTATCAAGTGTGACCCCGAGATATTTCACTTGATCCGTCCGCTGAATTTCGTCGTTAAAGAAGATGGGATTGGGCGGAAGGAAGTTTGTGTGTCCTTTTCTGAAAATAATGGCTTTGGTTTTGTCAGTGTTAACGGTAGTTCTCCACAGTGTCGCCCAGTTTTCAAGAAGCTCTAAATAGTTTTGTAGAAAAATTTGTATAGTATTGATGGTTGAAGCTTGAGATAGGATAGCGGTATCGTCAGCAAATAAAGCGATAGTAATACGAGATTCTTTTGGAATGCCTTGAGTATAAATATTGTAAAGAAAAGGAGAGAGAACAGAGCCTTGACACCTGCAGTAATATTTCTAGTAGTTGAGAGGGTGTTTCCAACTTTGACAGCAAAAGTGTGATTTCTGAGGTAAGAGGCAATAAGTCGAATAAAGTGATTCGGAAAAATTGAGCTGAATTAGTTTGAATATAAGTTCCTTGGTGCCACACTCTGTCAAAGGCTTTGGCAATATCTATGAAAATTGCACCAGTAGGAAATTAGCAATTGAATCCATCAGAAATGTTACTTGATAATGCATGGAGAAGCTGATGATTGGTGCTGTGCAGATGTCTGAATCCAAATTGTTCATCAGGAGTATAAGAGCTAGGAGGCATGATTCGATTAATATAAAACAAAATAATTTTTTTCAGCAATTTTAGAAATTTGACTAAGTAAACTGATAGGCCGATAATTTTGAGGAAAGTAGAAACTTTGATGAGGTTTAGGGAAGACAACAACAACTGCATGTTTCCATACTTTTGGGAAGTAAGAGAGCTTGATAACGGAGTTAATTATTTTAGTTAAGCACGTAATTGCATTAATTGGAAGATGCTTGAGTGCTGTGGAAGAAATGCCATCACAACCAGCAGCTTTTTTAGTTTTTAAAGAGCTAATAAAATTCGCAACAATTCTCGGAGAAGCAAGAAAAGTGAAATTAGGTGGTCCAGGGCTATCACAGCCAACTCTATCATGGCCTTGAAGCGAAATCAGTTTCGGAAGGTCACGTGATCAAAATAGTCGATCTTTTTCTCTTCGCTATAAGCGCGAAATTTAACTTGCCGAAAATAATAGTTTTCTCTTAATATAAATATAAGTAAAATTAATAAACGTGACTAGGTCGCATGACTTACATTAAATTTTTCATAGTGTAATATTTTCACAGCCGTGTAAAATGAATATCTTCAATAATTTTTAAAACAATTGTACTTTGTTTATGTAACTAAAAATATCATTGAGAATCACCACATACAAACTTTATTTCTGCAATTTTAATAAAAATGAAATCTATTTATGTAATCTAAATCAAATTTGTTTCCAAAATAATATAAAATCCGCAAAAGGGGAAAAATTCAATAGATTTATAGATGCAAATTTTATTTAGATTTTCTTAACACTAAAATAAATATTAATGGCAGAATATTTTGTAAAAATTTCATGCCACTACCCATCGCATCAGCTATATAAATTTTTAGAAGGCAAATATTCATAGTCATCTCTCTCATCATCTTCTTACTCCATTCACTAATAAAAACTTAAATATCACAATTTTGTCAAAACAGGGAAATGAATTAAAAATTCCTTAAATGCTAGGAAATTTGTGTATAAAAATAAACTTACATGCATGTTATGCTATAAATAAATCTTTCAAGAAATTTTCGAAAAATTAAATGCTAATTACATTCATAAAAGGACAACCTTCTATTTGTGCCAGCTCCAATTTTATGTTGTATCACTTTTTCCAGCCTACCAGCGGCCGAGCAGTAAAGTCGCTGAACGCTGGTAGTTCGGTTCGAGTCCCGCGAACGGGCTGGCTACATGGGTGTTTTCAAGGTTTTCCCCATGTGTAACGTGTATATGAGCCAGTTTCCCTTAGAAAATCCTCCACAAAGGCATCCCTCCGCTTAGGCAGATAGCCCTAGTGTGCTTTGCCATGATTAAATACACCACACCACTTTTTCCAAACCACCCAAGAGGTAAGTGATTAGGCTCGTTTGTTTTTTAGAGTGGTGTCCCCAAATTACAGGCCTATTCCACTATCAAAAGTAGATTCATAAAACTTGGAGCTGTACCATATACACACATCCTACATATCATACATCATTTATGCAGAAGCATACATAAAAACAAACAGTTGTGACTTATTAACTGAAATTAACTGGTAAATTTTTTAACTTTTTTATATGAACATTTTATATTAATTTTGTCATTTTTATATTTTGTGTAATTATTTAACATTATTTTACAAGTTATCAAACAGATATTTTCTAATCGGGTTTGCAAAGTCATTCCACAAATGCAAGAATCTGTTAAATTAAAGTTAATTCTACCTAACTGTATGCAAGATAACTTATATAAAATACCCAGTTGCTTTCCTGATATAAGAAATGTATCTTCCATGCTTTCGAGAATTCCACCAAATAAGAAATGTACAATTGAAGATGTTAGTAAAGCAACTTCAGACGGTAAAGTTAATTTCCCCCTATCTAATTCTTTAAGAAAACCAAAAATATCATCTGCTATATCTATTGAGTGAACACTTTGCAACCAGTCCTGGCAAATACTGCATTTTACCACCCTTAATTCTTTCATGGGAAACTAGCACTGGTACTGGTACAAAACTAGCACTGAAACATAAACTAGCACTGGTAAAATATCAGAAGGAACATTTTCTGTAGAAAAATCATTAACTAGTAAATTTGAATAATCCTCAATATTCACAAAGGTAAAGATAGAATCCTTATCATAATCTGGTAAAAGAGACGTTAAAGGGATATTGATATTTGATGATGAAATTATAAAATTGCTTTTAAAATGAAGCTTCTTCTCACTTTCTAATAATTGTAGATAATTTATGTAATAATTTGAACCTGACATTTGCCGATACATTCCAAAACGTGATTCAAGAGCATCAATTTGAAATTTTCCTAATAATATGTATTTAGCCTCATACTTTTGAAACAAATATGGAATCAATTGAAAACATCTGCATGATCCTTTGATATACATTTTAATGCTGCTATGTTTTTTTTCATTTAAGACTTGAAGTGCTAGTTTCACGGTTTTTTTTTTTTTTTTTTCTTTCCTGAATTGTTGAAGGATAAAGAGCTTTATTTGTAAGTAAATGGCCATATTTAACAATGGAAGATTTCTCTATATCATACATGATTTCCAAATGCTTAAAGTTAGCTTTCTTTAAAATATCATTATTTTCTAGATCAGGAAATGTAATTAATTTTTTGTTGCACCAATTATTGCGTACTGATTTTAACATATGAACTGTGTCAAAAAGAAAGAAAAGAAGCCTCGAATCATCTAAAGGGTGCTTAATATATGGCTGCAAAGTTTTATTAGGGGTCATTAGTTCAAATGCACGTTTATTCACAGCATTATTATCAGAAATCAAACAAACAACTTTAAATCCTATATTTTCTAATGCTATTAAAATCTGCTGAATCATATCTTGTAGCTCATTAGCTTGCAATCAATTAACTGGAACAATACTAACTACATCCTTATATGAAAAAAAAAAACTGATGTTATCATGAAAACCTGAGCTGTTTTGGCAGCAAGTGCTGGTTTATCATGAGAACCTCCATAAATAGAACCACCTTTAAAGTTGAACATAGGCTGAATGTAAATTTCATCTAATAAAACATTTACTACAAGTTCTTGTTCATTAAGAAAACATTTTTTCCTCTCTAAATAATTAATGCTGCCAGCCAAACTTAATTTTGACAATGAATAACTACTCATAATATTGCGTAAGACTCGAGTACTTGGAATGCACAAATAGTCGCAGTTTAGTAAAGCATTGTATGCCAAAGAAGATTGCACAAATAATGTTGAAGCTAAAATTAAAGTTCTATTACTGTAACGCCTATTATTTTTTGATACTCTTAACAATTTTAATTGCTCTATTATAAAAGAAATATGTTCAGAATTATCTAAATTACAGTCAACAGAATTTAGTAATGTAATTGCTGATTCTAACACAGATGGAAATGTTGTATTAGTAACAGAAGTTTCAACATTGTTCATTAAATCATGTAATACTGAAATTGTATCAACAACGGGTGATTTTGAAAATTTCTTCTTACTTTCTTTCCGATTTTCAATGTATACTTCAAAATTCATGTCAGTACTTATAATGATGCATCCCAAAATTTTTGGACATTTTTCATGAGCTGCATATAAACATAAGCGAATTATATCATCATCATCGTCATCTAAGTAAAACCATTTATTTTTATATTTACATATGTTTTCCCGAAAGTAATTGACCACATCTTGAGGACATTTTAATGCACTTTTTTCTAAATCAGCTTTCTGCTGAAGTAAACTTTCCTGAACGGCTTTCTTATAATTTACTTCTTCTACATCAACAAGTCTGCGAGGTTTGGATTTATTTGTACTTAAATATGAGGGAGCATTTTCAAATATACATGGCACAGCGCCTTGAATGAGACCAGGGATTTTTTCTGTCATATTCTTTATATTCATTTTT